GGAAGATGTAATGTGGATTGAAGACATTTCTTCATGGATCTAAAACATATTAGCCTTCCTCAAGGATTAAGTCCTACTTGATGACGAGGATGAAGCCCAGAAGCTTAGAAAAAGAGCTACACACTTTGTTTTACAAGGTGATGTACTGTACAAAAGAGGCTTTTCCTTGCCTCTCATTTGATACTCAAAATGAGAAAAATCTAATTCTATCCTCCATGAGATCCATCAAGGCGTATACAAAATCATGTTGAAGTACTCACACTCAAACAAAAGGTGTTAAGGCAGAGATACTACTAGCCCACCTTGAAAAATGATGCGTTCCAATTTGGGTGAAAGTGTAATACAGAGGCAACCTTCCCAGGAACTTATGGTGGTTTTTAGTCTTTGGCTATTTGCTAAGTAGGAGATTGATCTCATAGGCTTGCCAAAGGAAAAAGGTAGTGCAAGCTATGCTATCATAGCCATCGGTTACTTCATAAAGTGGGTAGAAGCCAAATATTTGTCAAAATTACAAAAGCTAGTACTTCAAGATTTTTATAGAAGAACATCGTATGCTAGTTTGCCACTTCCCACTCGATCATATCAACCAATGGATGATAATTTGACAACAAAAAGGTTATGGACCTAAGTGAAGAGCTGGGATCAAGAAACACTTTTCTATACCTCAACACCCTCAAGCAAATGGCTAAGTAGAAACCAACAAGAAAACCATTAAGTAAACATTGAAAGGAAACTCGATGTTCTAAGGAGACACGAGTTGATGAGCCCCCTTAGGTGTTGCAAGTTATTCACACCACAAGTCAAATTATTAATGGAGAGACTTCTTTTTCCGTGCTCATGGAGTTGAAGCTATGAGCTTGGTCAAGGTAGATCTCTCATCACTTCACCGTCTATATTTCAATGAAATATCCAATGACGAACTAATGAGGTTTCAACTTGACTTCATTGAAGAAAGGAGGGATGATTCCCAAATACAATTGGCTACTATTAGTGAAGAGTGACCTGGTACTACAACTCAAAGTGATGAAAAGATAATTTCACATAAACAACCTTGCGCTAAAAAGTAAAGGTGCAACTTTACCCATGGAATGTAGAACACCTAAGAAGGTATTATCAATGAGCAAAGCTCAACTACTTAGCTGGATGATATTTCCCAGTTTATGTAAAATATTTCCTATTTAATGAAATGTATATTGTTACAAATGTCTTCAAGTCATAAATACGCCTCCCATTGACGAAGTTGATCGCCATAAGAGAAATATCTATATGGATAGACCATCCATCATGTAAAGAAATATGAGCGCTTCGGAGAAGAAGAGAGACCCAAATGTGGAAATGACCTTCAAATTCTCCAAATTGGACATCATATGCCTCTCATGAACGGAGCTAATCACCATATGAGAAGCCTCTAAATAGATGAATATTCCATCTTCCAGGGAAGCAAGAGAGATTCAAAGAAAAGGCAAATTCCAAATGGGAAATCCCCTCCAAATTCTTCAAAGCCATTTCATATGCCTCCCATGGACGAAGCTAATCAACATGGGATAACTCTCTACATGAATGAATTATCCACCATGCAGGGAAGCAAGAACACTTAATTTTACCTTGCTCTTTAGGGAATTCGCATAATATAAATGCGTTAATTGATTCTAGAAAAAGTATTAATTTGACGACCTTGTATATCTACAGGAAATCAGATTTGAAGGAGCTAAAGGAAACCTCAATAACTGTACAGCTGGTTGACAGGTCAATCAAACGCATTTGTGAAGTGGTTGAGGATATGCTCATCAAAGATGGAGATTTTATCTTTCCAACTGATTCATTATCCTTGATGTAGAAGAAAATCAAGGCATGCTAATGATCGTAAGAAGACCTTTCTTGGCAACTTGACTTGTATTAATGGATTTTGAAAATGGTGATATAATCTTCAGGGTGTAATAGAAACAACAAATTTTACATGAATACTCCACTAAGCAACATGTCTACCTAGAGAAGTGTAAAATGACTGACCATGAAAAAAAAGAATGATTATAGAACTCCTCACTATAAAACAAAGAGTTGGTGGATTTATTGGAGTGATTAAAGATCAACATGAAAGTTTTGAAATTTGGGGCCCCAATAATGAATAAAGAAACATCCGTCAATGCAGTCATTGCAAAGCTAAAAATCTCCTTTTTAAGCCACCATAGATAACCAAAACAATAGAATCAAGCTAATAACTATAAACAAGCGCTTATTGGGAGGTAGCTTAATTTTATTTCCTTTTATTTATTATGCTTTCTAGATAATAGGATTCATAAATTTTACTGCTTTTACTAGCTTATGTATCTTCATCCCCATATTACCCTATAGACTGTGATGTGTTTAAGCTTAATATAAATTGTTCCATATTATCAATGATCAATTTCTCTTCATTTTGTAGAAATATGACAAATTAAAACACACAAACCAATGATGGACAAGGAAAGGATGTATCCAAGTGGACCATCCGTTGCAATTTTTTTTATTTTTTTAAATTAGCCTCCACTTTTAGACATATTTGGCGATTGTATTCCATTATTTATTCTTTTGATTTTCCTTACTTGATAACAGTTTGAGATATTGACGGCAATGTCATGTTCAAGTTTAGAGGTGGCAAAAAAATTGAGTTTTTATTATTTATTTTGCATGATTGTATGAATTTTAATTTCTTTATTAAATATTAAAAAAAAGAAATAGAAAAAATTGAAATTTTTAAAATTTAAAAAAAAAAAAATTCTTTAGTTCGAATACTCGTGTGGATTAATTAGCGTTACCAATAAGTGATACACAGAAAAAAGGGGATAGAGTATAAGAACTTCACCTATGTTCACTTCGAAATTGTACTTTCTCAATAGAAAGTTGGAGTTTCATTTGTAAAAAAATCATTAAACAGATAAGTGCAAGTTATAACAGCGATAAGCAAGTTGTCGAACCAAAGAACACTTGTATTTGAGTATTAGTGTCACCAATGTTGTCAAAATGAATGACTAGTTAAAAGGTTTCATGCTACCTGAAGTTTTGATATCACTTTGCGAAACTGACACTAAAGTAATACCATAAATATCATTTTATCATCAATCTAAACTTGTTCTAATTTGAACAAGTGGAGGCAGGGGTGGACGCAGAGAAATTGAGTTAGGGGGCACAATCTTTACTTTGTACAAATTGAATACTTTATTTTTATTTTTGAATGATTCATATTTGACCCGAAAAAATGTAGATTTACATTTTAAAAATATTTATTCATTAATATTTTGCAAATCATTTTCATCTATTTGATTTTGAATAATAATTTTTTTAATATTTTGCTTATTACAAGAAAATGCATATTTATGTTTTAAAAAATTGTGGATTTGATACAAACAATCAATTCAAGTAATCGAAAGAAAAAAAATAATCAATATTCAATACTAATAATCAGTTAAATAAACACAATTCGCTAGATATAAGTTAAATTTTATATAATCAGTTTAGACACGTGCTATATACACAAATAGGATAGGAGAAAATCAAATTGAAGTTCTAGTTAATTGAAAATTTGATTGAAAAGTGAAATTTTGGAGTAGACTGTAGATGTGATAATTGTAGAGAAATTATAAACAGATTTTAAAAAATTAGAAGAGTTAAGATTTTGGTAAAAGATTTGAGGGAGAGAATACGATAGAGCAATAAAAAGGAGATAAAATTCAAATTTATTGTGATTTTATCTCTGTTTGATGGGAATTAAAGTCTGATTTTTAGTAAATTTTGATAAAATTTTAGAAGTTAAGGAATTTAGGAAATATATTATTAAAATTAATTATTAACTTTGATTTAGATTAAAATTAAAATTTTAATCAATACCAAACATAACTTTATCAAAAATAAAAATAAAAAATCTCAAAAGTTGGGGGTCAAGTGACCCCTCCTGACCCCCTTGGGTCCGCCCATGAGTGGAGGATTCTTGTAATTCTTTCGAATATAACAGAAACACAAGGCTGTTTCGAATGCTTTCTAAAGTGAGAAAGACGTGAAATAATGAATAAAAACATGGTAGAATAAATTTCAAGGATAAAGGCGGACTTGTCTTTTGGAAGGCAAGACCTGAGGCCACAGGTTTTGGGCTCGTGACAGCTGCAACCAGACCTACACTTCGTGGTCACGGGTATGGGACCCGCAATCTCGGTCAACTAGCTGTTAGGCTAGTTGATAGTTCAATATTTGGCGGAAAATTGTGTCTTTTAACCGTTCATTTTTTCCATTGATTCAACGGGTGTCTCCTCCTTTATATATTGGTGATTGTTGGATGAAAAACATAACATTAACTCTTTGGTCTTAAGGTTCTTCATTATTGCTTGGTGATTAACTTTCAAGGCTCGATTAATACTCGGAGCTATTTGTTGGTGTATCCAACAAGCAATCTCAAGGATGAAAGGGGGCAAATATCGTTTTGTACAGCACTTTCTACGTGTTCAAGTCTCTAATTCTGAGTTTATTCTTTCCTTTTTTGTGATCTTATTTGATCTCCATCTTCTCCATTTATTGCATTTGATTCTTCTCTTATTTTGATATATATTTTCTAACTCTGCCTCTCATGAATTTTGAATATTAATAATCATATAGAGGTATTGTCGTGATATTCTATTTGAAGTCCTATGCATTTGCTTCTGACGAGCTTGCTGCCATGGGCACCGTGGATGCCGGAATGCAAATGGTATCAGTAGTTACGGATCCAAGACTGAGCTACAAAATTTCAAATCGGGCTACTACTGGGAAAAAGAAAAATTTGCACATAAAAAACTGATTTTTTACCAAGAAAAATAAAAAATACCTTAAAAAAATGTTCTTGGGCCTGAGTTGGTGGGGGCGGGGGGGGGCACCCAAATCCGTCTCTGGGTAGAGCAGAATGCACGACTGATATTAAATGACCTCGACCTATTCTCATAACAAATGATGATTAATGTGATACGATTGAAATATCAGCAAACACAAAATAAGAATTTAAACAAAGATGGAAAGCTATGAGATTTATTCATTTGTTCAACTACGAAAATCCAATTCTATATCTTTTGCAGCTTTAGTATAAAAGAAACTGCTGCATACACAACCCATGCAAAGGAAACTGAAATGAAAGTAATCTTGATAGGCATTCTTCCATTATCACTTCTTAAAACCATGGCTTCATAAATTGGCCAGCAATTCACTACGCCAAAACTTGCAATAAGCATCTGAAAAATCAAGCAGTCCAAATTTTCTCCCCTTAGGATTTTCAGAAATCCCATAATCAACGCCGCTAAATTCAAAACTGCACCAGTCGAAAATGGCACGAAAATGGGTGAGGGAACCCCAAATTCAAATTTCCCTTCATAATACCTTTTGTTTTGTTCGTTGTCAACTACTTTGCTAGTTACTTCAAAGCCTCTTGTGGCAATTCCCAAATGATGGGTAATGTACTCTAACGATCCAAATAAATCAGATGAAAGTGACCTTATGAGCCACATTCTTTGATCACTCCACCACCGTAGGATTGTCCCTCGGGCTAAAACAAACTCCAGGCAATCTTGTACATAGGCCCCAAGAAATAGGAATATGTACAAGAAAAACCAGGGATCCCATACCTGTAAGATGTGTTCAGAAGATAGAAATCAGAATGGACGGACGGTTTTGGGGGTGGGGGAGATGGCCATTGGTTTTAACTTCCATACGGTACTTTTGACTTCCCAGTTTTGCTACCAACGAAAGAATCAAGAGTGGGTTTGTGGCATCATCTTTTATAGGAGAGAGGTCAATAATGGTAAAAGAAAAGGATTCCATAAGTTAATATGAACTCAATGAACTCAGAAATGACCACATCAAGTACACTGAATTCAATGAAGTACGTTCAGTGAACCGAGCACGTCGATCACAATAAATTGTCCTGGTATTCTGACCAATGACGATAAATTAGTTTTAAACGGCAAAGGTAAAACGTGGCCATTATTCACTTTGCCTGTCATGTGACTTCTACTTTAAAAAGTTCCTTTTATTGTTTTACTTGTTACGTACCTTTGGGAAGACAAAGAAGTCGTTGAGCAGAGCTATTTGAGGCACGCAGGCATACACTGCGACAGGGAATGACAAAAGGGGGCCAAAGGCATAGTATGCATAACAATGAGCCTTTAAAGGTCCAAGAAACCGAACACCAAAGACTAAAGGACTATGCTTGGACAAAGACACCTCCAGGAGGCCTAAGGCCCATCTCTTGGTCTGGTTCAGCGAATCATTAAGGGATATTGGCATTTCGCACAAAAAAGATGCTCTTTCCGGATTACAATATACTGACTTCCATCCCTCGCAATGAAGCCGATAACCGGTATAATAGTCCTCGACTAACGAGCCATATCTAAACCCAATCTGTAAAATACAGAAGAACTTATTGTTTCAATAATTGATAATGCTGTACATACATGAAGACCAGAAAATGTCATATTTAGTGTAATAAAGGCTTACCTTGGAACCCCAATTGGTCTGGTTCTCATAATTGCAACCTGCTACATGGTGAGCTAGCTCTAAAATTGACTGATTTTTTATACTCCTCTCAACAAAGTTATCTGGGTTCAATTCCACAATTTCTGGTTCGATAAATGATGATGGAGCACCATAGAAAATGCGTCGACGAAAAAATGTACCAGTCCCAAAGTAATCCGGGCCCGATAAACCATTCATGCCCACTGGGTTTATATAAAACATACGCCTAAACTCGGACGCATAGATATCGGCCTTGTTAAGCCCATTGAAACGTTGAGGGAACTGAACGAAACCAAATTTCGGAGAACTGTCCAAGAAGTGACACAGCATTTGATGAGGCGTTGATGGATCATTGGATATCATGTCACAATCTAGGGTCAGAATTATTGGTGCATTTGTCATGACTGCCGAAACTCGAAGCTTTAGAACAGACACAAACACGGACAATTGTATAAGACAAACAAAAATGATGTTTGAGATTGTCAACTGATTAGGTTATAAGCAACTTGTCAATATATTACCAGTGCATTCAGGGCTCCTCCCTTATAATGGTGCTCGGACGTCCTGCATTTCTCTCTAGACACATAGACGAGATTTGGTATAGAATGGCCTCTAATATCCGTGTCATTCCCAGCTTGTGACACTACCTGTCCAAATAGTATCTTTTAGGAAACACATATCTGTTTATCTACTCAATATAATTGTAGCTGAAGAAAGATAATTGTAATCGACATAAATCTGAGCCACAAAAAAACTCAAGATACTGGACGAATTATTTGATAAAATGTAAAGTTGAAAACTGTCATGATTCAACATATCACATTTGAGCACAAGGAATTGATGTTGAGAATTATAAATCTTAATTCTATTCCACCGAGAGCAATCAAGAGGAAGAAAGAAAAATGAACACGCATAAATTATAGAGGTTCAATTCAATATGAGACAACTTCCTCTCCCATAACTGTAGTAATTCATTATGACGAAAAATTATTTACGAGAATAAATCGCACTCCTATCTTCTCTAGTCTCTCTTTTTTGATGATAATCATATTGCTTAAGGAAGGCTCCCTATTTATAAGATAAATTGGGGAAAAATTGAATTATACAACGACTCTAATTCCTTGATGGAATTTTACAAGAATATAAATTTCTAAACAATCTTTAGATTGGATTTTGGTGTGACCCTCGGGAGGGGGGCAGGCCAACCCCCACGACGACTTCACTGCGGAGGTCAATCCACGACCAGCTCCGCGCAGTGGCAATAATTAGGATTGACTTAACAATTGATACAATGGTTAATGCTTTTGTATCAATATTCACATGTGATAAATAATTGGTAAAAAACGATAAAAGAATGTATTTTTACCTGGATTACAGTGGGATGATCCTGACGAGTAAATCCCTGGTTCCATTTGCCAAAAGCTTCAGCTTCTTCCTCACTGGTTTTGTACTCGTCAATAATTTTCCCTTTCTCGACTACACTTTCTACTCTCCTTTTCATACTCTCATACATCGTCTGCAGTGTAATCTAGATTTAAGTTTTAACTAAGTATTTGGCCAACAAAAATTACCAAGACAAAGCTGTAAACATTACCTTAATTTCAGAGTTTGAACAAGAATTCGATCTGAAATAAGCTTCGGGGCACCGGTTCATAACCTTATTCTCCCGACAGAAAGGTAGCCAATAGTTTCCAAATTTAGCAGCCTCCATCAAAGCGAAGAGAGTGAACTCGGATCCTCCATCATCCGATACATAAGCCGACAACTTTTCTGCCGGATAATCATATGCCATCACCGATAGAGCCGTGTTTGCCACCGTCATGGGCGGCTCTTTATAAGGATCCGCCGTGCATATAAATATGTCCAAGGCTGGAAAATTTTTCCGATCACAAACTTTTTCGATGTTTTCAGGGAAGATATTTTCAATAATTGGATTCATACGAAAGGCCTGGGAATTCAGCCACATAAAGCCCAGTATAATATCAGATAATAGCAACGACGTGGATATGAAGAAAGCACCATAGGTGGGGGAGTAGAGGAGACTTTCTGCGTGGTGGTAGAGGAGAGCCACGATGGCAAAAAAGTAAACAACGGCAAATGCCCGGTTAAGAAAACGGCGGCGCAGCCGCTTGGAGGAGTGTAGGGGGAACTTGCGTGTTGAAGTTCCCATTTTCCGGCAGCCCTGCTCCATCTCTACTATTAGTAAGTACTGACATTTGCATTTAAATAATTAACGAATCAGTTTAAGACAAATCAAACTTTGTTAAGTATGTTCTCAACTTCATTGTCAAAAGTCAAGATCATGTTTTGGACTATTGAGGAAAAATAAGTTTGCTTTTGAAGTGCGTGAAGATAATGATAAACATTGACGCGGCATTGTGTGTTTTATAATTTACTAGCGGCGGATCATGCAATGCACCATGATTATTATAATTTTGACTGAACCCATTAATATAAGAATGAAAATAAAAAATATAATCTTTATAAGGTTCATACAAAAGATAGAAAATCATATATGATGACTTGATGTGATGGATGATGATGATATTTTTCATTTTAATAGACAAATAGTAGGAAACAAACTGAAACGTTATAAAAAATATCATTATAGTGTTATCTATTTTACGACACGTAAATATTTAGTTATATATAGTGTCAATAATGTGAACAAATTGGTCTATGATATGTTTAGAGTTGTAGTAACATTATGCCTATATTTTGGTGGTAATTAAAATCAGATTTTTAGTAAATTTTGTTGAAAGTTGGTGAAGTGTATGGTTGAAAGGTTGTGGATCCCATAAAATATGTGGTTAAACTTAGTGGTTGACTTTGACTTGAATTGAAATTTAGATTTTATTTTCTATCATTAGGGGCTATATCTAACTTCTATTAAAAAGGGGAACGAGATGTTACTGTGGATGAAACAGTAAATTAATCCGAAAATATTGTACAAGAGAAAAAAATGACGTCATTTTTTGTACCTTTTTTTATTGTTTTCGGCTAATACCATACCGTTTCCGTTTTTTCACTCCTACGACCATTCCTCTGCTCTTCTTCTGACTTGATGGAGGTGAAAGAAAATCATCGAGAAAATCAAACAACGACTACATCGCCTTTTCTTCATCCTTCTGCGATCTAGGTCGCCACTCCTTCTGCGATTTACTGCTTCCAGAAGCATCCGTTGAATTATTGTTTACTGGGACTGTTCACTACTTCTGTTGCTTTTATGATGGCTTGACTTGTGCATTCACTAGTGGTAAATGATTCTGTTTTCCATTCATTTATTTCATGTCTTCTTTTATAAAAAAATTTCTAATTAAGATAGAGATTTTGGATATCATCTTATTATTGTAGTTATTTATTGTTGATTGGAGTATGAGTTGCAAAAAAATTCAGGAAGCCTTCTTTTACTAGAAATGAACTTTAAGTTGTGGCTTTATGACAAAATCTCACGTTGTCATCTCTTGGTGCCTTAAATGGGGTTATAGAAAAAAGGAAAATCTCTCCGCATTGCGCGAAGAGATTAACTCTCTCCGTATTGTGCGAAGAGATTTTTTTGCTCTTCGTATTATGCGGCGAGTTTTGCCATGGTGTGGAGAGTTTGCCAACTCTCCGCAAATTGTTTGCCAACTCTCCGCACATAATTTGTCATCTCTCTGCACTATATTTTTTTGTGATTGTAATTGTTTTAGCTTTTGATCTCACTTTTGGTAAACAATATATTGTAACAATATGTTATAGTTAAGATTTCGTCGTCATTAAAAAAAAAAAACTCTCCAAACTGTTCGGAGGCTCTACATTGTGTGGAGAGACCTGTGCGGAGAGATCAATTGATCTCTCCGAACTGTGCGGAGAGATTTTTTTTATTTTTTTAATCGATATCATTACTTGATAAGCGCATTTCTATTTTTTTTTATATACAATTATGTTTAATTTATTTATATAAAATGCTCTAAAAATAATAATTATTAATAATTATTAAGCTAATAAAAAATACGCTAAAAAAAGTATACGAATCAAATTTCTCAAAAAATTAGTAACAAAAAAGTAAAAAAAATGCATTTAACTATTTTTAATTTCGTCTAATTTACTAATTTAATAATTTCAATGAAAAAAATTACACGTGCTGTGTGGAGTCTCCGCAAAATTGTGCAAAGACTCCGCACAAATCGCGAAAGTGAGGACTTCCATTTTTTTTTTTTTTTGCTGAATCATGCAACTGATATTTGTTTACTTTGTTATTTCATTAGTTAAAAATATACATTAAATATAATATAAAATATAAGTACAAGAATAAGTTTAAAAATAAAAAATACAACTCTCCCCATATGTGTAGAGACTCCGCACAAAAAATGTGCAGAGTCTCCCCATGTCGGGAGTAATGTGCGGATGGAGTGCGCATAGTTTGCATAGATTGTGTGGAGTCTCCGCACAGTTTATATAGATTGTGCGTAGTGCCCGCACAATGTGCGGACGGAGTGCGAACACTCTGCCACATTGTGAGGGCACTCCACACAGATTGTACGGAATCTTTGCACAATCCGCATAGATTGTGCGGAGTGTCCGCATAATGTGCGGAGAAAGTGTGCACACTGCGAGATCTTCACACAGATTTTGCAGAGTCACACCCTAAGGTTTCTCCGCAATTTTTTTAAAATTTAATCATGCAATTAGTTTGTTATATTATTAGTTAAAAAATATGCATTAAATCTAATAAAAAATATAATTACAACAATATAATACAAAAAAGAAACTCTCAAAATAATCATTACTAACAACAAAAGAATCTAAACAAAGCAAGAAGACAAAAATGAAAAAAGTAAAACAAAGAATGATGCCAAAAAATTTGGCAGTATTGTTCGAATGAAAAATGCATTATTGACACACAAAAACTTTTGCAGTCACCAGGTTAAAATATAGATTTATTGTGTGGTATCAAATTTTTTTTACATAATCATAATAAGTCTTCTTATTACGCTAATAAAATTACAATAATTTTTTTTAAAAAAATAGCATTAAAAAAAGCAATTTTAGCTTCAACAAAAAAAATACATTTAAAAATTAGCAATTTCATAATCACCTTTTTTTTAAATCCCCAGAAATACAATTATAAAAAACGAAACAATATTGAATTACAAAAATCAATATTTGTCGCATTAAAGACAATATGTGCAGTAAATATGGTATGTTGTAAATACGGTATGATGCAAATACGATATGTTTCATATACGGTATACTGCATATACGATATATTGCGATTACGGTATGATGCAAAATATTGTATGCTGTAAATACGATATGCTACAAATACGGTAAGCTGTAAATATGGATTGCTGTAAATACGGTATGCATCAATATGGTTGATATCGTATTTGCAGCCTACTTACCGTATTTGCAGCTTACCGTATATGATGCCGCCTACCATATTTGCAGCTTACCGTATTTGCAACCTACCATATTTGCAGGCAACTTACATTATTTACAGTTTACCGTATATGCTGCCTAACATATTTGCAGCTTACAGTATATATGCTACCTGTCATATTTGTAACTTACCGTATATATCGATTTTTGCACTTACAAATATTGAGAATGCAGAGCACCGTACATTCACTTACCAAACCGAATGTCAGCAAAAAAAATTTCACATGTTTATCTTTTCACCATAAGCATAAAATAAATATTAAAATAGATGAAGCACAAAATATAAATACATATGAATATGCAAGTCGATTTATAACTTTGTGCTCAATCTTCAATTTTCCAATATTGAATTAGAAATATAATCTTCACATTCAACTCAATCATATCATCACTATTAAAGAATACAGACAAAACAATTTGTATATTTCTTATTCAAGTATGAAATATACAAGCATATTTTTTCTAGAAAACATAATACTGTTGCAATTGTAAAAATAATTTGCAATTATTTTCTTATATTCTGAAAATATTTCTAGATATTGACAAAATACAAAATTCGTGCAACGCATGTGATAATGACTAGTGATGTAAATAATAAGTGCATTTTATTGTGATATGAACATCTTGGGCAAAGAATTTTTTGGTACATGAATGCAAGTTAAATTATGAAAACTAAATTAACCAACTTGCGACCGTGAAAATTGGAAAGAGAGATAGGAAAAAAGCCATAGCCAAAAGTATATAATGATCAGTGTAGAACAGGAAAAACTCAAAAACTTTAAAATGCATTATTGTGAGATAGCATCTATAACTGGTATTAAACACAGCAACATATCCTATGGTGTTGAATCATTCAAAAATTGCTTTATCCTTTGTGATTACTCATGTAGCAGAATGAAATGTACTTATTCTACGTGATTACTCAGTTTTTAAACAGACACATAGTTACCACGTGTTGCAAAAATGTTAGATTATTTTAAATAGCATTCCCTCCATCTGTTCATAACATTTGCTTTACCAGATGTCAATAATAAATTGTATAAAGAAGCAAATATGACTTAGTTGTTCATCCAAAGATTAAGGGGTGTTTGGGAGTGATTTTTCACCCCCAAAAAAATTGATTTTTTGTTCGTTATTTCCCTATTTCAACCATAATTTTTTACTTCTTCTCTTACAAGTGACCCCACTCTTCTTCTAACAGTCAAAAAATCAATTTTCAAAATCTCTATTGAACAGGGCTGAAATTTGGAAAATAATATATGTCAAAGGCTTCTTCTAGAACATAGTGCTAATTAAAAACAAAACGTTCAGTTGTAGATTGAGTAAACTTAAAAACATATTTCCACGACTGCTGAAGCTCTCAAAGAATCCAAAATAAGCTGAATATTGTGGGTTAATTTTTGCACCTGCAAAAGCATACAATAAAGCATGTTTATAGGTAAGTAACACTTGCACAAGTACAAAATAACCAAATATAAATTAAACTCATAATACTATGAAAAGCGAATCTAAAAACAGTCGCCTCCAATATATTTCTAGCTCTCTTTTGCAACTAAGAGTGGGCAAAATATATCTTCCTTTCAACCTCAAGATGAACGGAAAAAGTAGAATATCATTATTTTCCAACTTTATTAAGGAAGACAAAATACACCTAGAGATACATGATGTTACCATCTAATAGTCTTGATTGTTACAATCTTTTTTAAGCACTCATATGGAGCTTGCTTGAGCCCATAGATGGATTTCTTTAATTTGCAAATCATGTTCTTCGAGCTCTTGATACAAAGTTTTCTGGTTGCACCATATAGATTGTCTCATCAATGTCGCCATTGAGAAACGCCGTCTTGACATCCATCTGATGTAACTCAAGGTCAAAGTGCGTAACAAGTGCCATAATTGTCCTTAAAGAGTCTTTCGTTGAAACTGGAGAGAAAGTCTCTTTGAAGTCAATACCTTCCTTTTGGGTAAAGCCTTTAGCCACAAGACGAGCCTTATATCTTTCCACATTACCATTTGAATCCCTCTTGGTTTTAAAAATCCATTTACAACCAATGGGCTTCACACCTTCAGGTAATGGGACAAGATCCCAAACTTTATTGTCTTGTATAGACTTATACTCCTCATTCATGGCATCAATCCACTTTTGAGAGTTAGAACCCTGCATGGCCTGATGGAAATTGATTGGATCATCTCTCACCATTCCATTATTTTCCTCATGTTCTTGGAGAAATACTATGAAATCATCCGAAATAGTACTTTTCCTCTCTCTCGTGGATCTCCTCAATAGTATTGGCTCTTGAGGTTGTTGAGTTTGTATTTCTGGAATAATTACCTCATTTTGTATGGGAGGTACTTCAACATTGTCTTGTTGAGGTTCTGGATATGCTTCTTGATCAACAACAGGTATAGAAACATGTACATTGTCAAAAGCAATAGTAGGAATCGAAACCGATCCTTCCTCAACTTCTTCCTCAAAGACAATGTCTCTAACCTTATTTCTCCCCCCAAACTCAACATCCTCAAAAAATGTTGCGGTTCCCATTTCAAAAATTGACTTAAGTGTGGGATCATAAAATTTATAGCCCCTGGATTGCTCAGAATAACCAATAAAATAGCTGCTAACTGTTTTGGAGTCCAATTTCTTTTCATGTGGCCTATAAGGCCTAGCCTCAGTTGGACATCCCCAAATGTGAAAATGCTTTAGACTAGGCTTTCTGCCTATCCAAAGTTCATAAGGTGTTTTAGCAGCAGCTTTAGTTGATACTCTGTTCAAAATATAAGCTGCAGTCTTTAATGTTTCTCCCCAGAGTGATTTTGGTAAGGTGGAATGACTAATCATACTCCTTACCATGTCCTTAAGAGTTCTGTTTCGTCTTTCAGCTACACCATTCATGCTAGGCGATCCTAGCATGGTGTATTGTGGGACGATTCCACATTCCTCTAGTTATTTAGCAAATGGTCCCGGACATTGTTCACCTGAACCGTCATATCTGCCGTAGTACTCACCACCACGATTAGACCTAACGCTTTTTATCCTTCTGTTGAGTTGATTCTCAACCTCAACTTTAAAAGCTTTGAACACATCCAGTGACTCAGACTTTTCATGTATGAGATATAGGTACCCATAACGTGAGTAATCGTCTATGAATGATATAAACTATTGTTGGCCATTCCAAGAAGCTGTAGGGAATGGTCCACAAATATCTGTGTGTATCAATTCTAAGACATCTGAAGTTCTTTTAGCACCTAATCTCCTTGTTTTGGTCTGTTTTCCCTTGATACACTCGATACAGACATCAAAATCGGTGAAGTCAAGGGAATCCAAAATACCATCTGACACAAGTCGTTTAACTCTAGCTTTTGAGATGTGACCTAAGCGCTTGTGCCATAATGTTGCAGAATTTTCTTTATTTAATTTGCGTTTAGTACCACGTGAATCCACATGCAAGGTCTCATTATATGATGAAATAATATCAAGCAAATACAGGTTATCATATGCAGATAATGAACCAGTACCAATAATATTGGAATTTAAAAAAAGACTAAACTGATTGTTTCCAAATGAACAACAATAACCTAATTTGTCCAACGAAGAAACAGAAATTAAATTCCGTCTAAAAGACGGTACAACGAAAGTGTCTTTCAAATCCAAATAATAACCAGTTCTTAATAACAACCTAAAAGTCCCTATTACATCAACTTCCACCGATTTACCATTACCCACATAGATGTATCTTTCATCATCACTTGGCTTTCGGTAGTTCAGGCAGCCCTGCATAGAAACACTTATATGAGTAGTAGCACCAGAATCTATCCACCAAGTGTTTCTAGGTACTGAAGCTAAATTATCCTCAGAACAGACCAAAGTAAGAAGTGTACCTTTCTTTGTACGCCATGCGTGATATTTGGCACAGTCCTTCTTCATATGTCCAGACTGATGGTAAAAGAAACAAGTATCTTTGTCTTCCTTTCGTTTCTTTTGTGCTGGACCCTTAGGAGCAGCTTCATATTCCTTCTTCTTTTTCTTGCCCTTATCCTTAGAAGTGCTTGCCAAGTGAGCACTTTCAGTTCTTTCTTGCTTCAACCTTTCTTCCTCTTGCACACAATATGAAATGAGCTCATTTAGAGACCATTTCTCCTTCTGGCAGTTATAACTGACCTTAAATTGATTGAACTGTGCAGGAAGCGAGATCAATACCAAATGAACGAGCAAGTCATCAGATAGCTCGAGCTTTAGACCTTTAAGTTTTGAAGCAATATGAGACATCTCCATGATGTACTCCCTTATGTTTCCCTTGCCCTTGTACTTTATTGAAATCAAGCTTTGCAAAAGCGTGCTTATTTCAGCCTTATCGTTTTTTACAAAACGCTTCTCAATTTCGACAAGGAACTCCTTGGCATTAGTTATCCCTTCGGATACTGCACCTTTAAAGGCTTTCGGAATGCCGCGCTCAATGATCATTAGACTCATGCGATTTGAGCGATCCCACCTCTCAAAGTTCCTCTTTTTATCAGGAGAACTTTCTTCCGTAAGAGGAGTGGGTTCCTCAACCCGAAGTGCAAGGTCAAGATCCATGCAGCCAAGAACAATCAATATGTTCTCTTTTCAATCCTTGAAGTTTGTTCCATTAAGTATGGAAATTGAATTGACATTAGCAGATATTGTAGTAGCAGATGAACTAGCTGTAGAGAGAACAGAAAGAAACAACTAATTATGCTCATATCCATATTTAATGAACAATAAATTCAAATAATGGTAAGCCCCATCTCAAGATACCTAGTGCAACATTAATATCAAGTCTTTGGATAGTAATACTAATTGCAAGTGGTACTCTCGGTGTAGTAATCGAACATTGGCAATAACTCCTGTCAAATAATAAATCTATCTTTGGATTGATTTATTATTTAAATGAAAACCTTATAATTGTCACACATTCACCACCACAAGTATGTATGTAATTTGGCCAAGTATTAACCTTCCTTTGGGCCGGCTAATACCCGCATGAAGAAACACACACACATCTAAACATCCAAATAAACCAATCTACACAAAAGATGTCACTTTGGCGACATATTGTTTCAATTAGTTTATTTAAAATGCTAGATAACCTTAATTTATTATGAATAAATTACCAAAATATTTGAATTTTATTGTTCCACATAATTAAATCTTAATTATTCCTCTTAAGAGAGTCTTTAGTACCAAAATTTTAGAGAGAGAATCACTAATTTTGCATTATTAGATGCCTTTAGAAAGTTTAGGGACCTAAGGGTTAATAATTCAAAACTTTAGGGATCAAAATTTGAAATTTTTTAAAACTTTAAGGGCCAATTTTAATTAATCATGAACTTTGGGGCTTTAATTGCAAAATTCAAAAGTTTAATGGCCCAAATTAAATAATTTTCCAAAATCTAGGGGCTGAATTATTAAACCCATAACCTAAAGGTCCAACTTGGATGGATAACAAAGTTTAGGGACTGAAATTTAAAATTTTAATTTTAAAACCCTAATTAGAAATTGCAAGCAAGGACCTGAGATTACAAAAATTGCACCTCAGGCCCCCGTCCCCAAAAAACCACCCGGTTGTAGGCATCTCTCTCTCTCTCACCATTACGCCAGCCGGCGCCGGCACCGTTGCAGTAGCGCCGGGCACTGCTGCTGCCTGCACGCTGCTGCAAAACATAGCAGCGTACCGCTGCTGCGAAACGCAACAGCAGCCCGCACCGGCGGCGACACAGCCGCCGGCCAGATCCAGTTGCAAATTTTTTTTTTTTTTTAAACAAAACCGAAAAATGAAATTTCAAAACTTTAGATTCCAAAACCTTTTACTGGATCTAGATTTATAACCATAAATAATATGCCAAACAATTCTCAAATTCAACAATAATGAATCCAAATAGTTAAATTTGAAAATCTCAAAAAAAAAAAAAATTGCAGTATTATAAATTTCACATAAAATCATGGAAGATCCATAACAATAACCCAAAAAAAGAAAAAATACTAAATTATTGCAATTTCTCAAAGATTTCAACAATGGATAGCTCTGATACCACTTGTTGTAATAATTGAAAGGAACCATATTCTTAAAATCCTTTCATAAAATCATAAATTCCATGTTGAAATCAAAGAGACAATGATAAGTGCGGAAACATACCTTGATCCATGAATCTGACTGCTTTAATTGGGTTTTGATCTTCCAATTGACACGTGCTTTTCCTTCCTTTGTTTTCTTGAAAAGTCTCTATTGATGGGGATGCAGAGATACCATAAAAAGAATCACGTTCAAATTGGGGACCATAACCATTTATTAAAATAACTGCAATTGGCAGTTATTAACTTTAAGTTATTTCAAATCGACCCCTCATCAATTCAAAATAACACCTTCTGATCTCTACACTTTAATCCCATAAAATTTAATACCCATTAGTCTAAAATTAAATTTAATGGATCACTTTATCGACTAAATTTACTTTAAAATAGCACCACACATTCTAATAAATGTACATGTGTGGCCCCTAAAGGATGGAATTTTTTTCCAACTAGATCTTCTTGAACATAATTGGTGATGGATAACATCATCTAAATTTTCTTAATGCAAGCCCATGAGAAGAACTTAAATGAGTAGTGAGGCAGTATATTTCTCCCTCATTAGAGAAAAACAATAAATAGGAAACACATGTTGTTTCAATATCTTCTAAAATTTCTCATCCCATTCTTATATTCCAAATCTATCAAATTCTGTAATATCAAAGAACATAATTATGCACCAATTGGCATTTGACTTGGTATTTGGTAAACATAATTTGTGTTATCATGCTTCTCATAGAGATGCCATTGACTTGAAACAAGTCTTACATAATTATACAAGCTTAGTAAATTAAAATTTATGAGGTTTTAAGTATACTCATATTTTGACATTCATTACAGTACAAAATGAACTAAATATCAGATAAAATATAATGGAATGTGTATATTTATGATACGAATTGGGTTCGACGTCAAAAAATTTCTATTAACAGAATAACCCCTTTAATTACATGGAGTAAAATGATATTTTATTTGTAAATTTGACATCACAAAATGCCTTCCTAAAACTCATGAGATGCAAGTGAACCAAAATTATTCCATTTATTTGCTATTGATATATATTCAATGAAATTTCATACCCTTTTACAAGCAGAGATTTGCTAATGGAGAAAGTAGCTTTGGGATCAAATTTAATAAAAGAACTCATATTCCCTCTAAGAGTAATCAAATTCTAATTAATATCACACTGCAATCATATATAATAAAATTAATTACATAAAGATGAAATAAAAAATAATAATAGAAACAAAAATCATACCTTTAGTGGGTCCATCCAACATGATCACAGAAACCACTCTTTTTTCTGAACCTCCCATTTTTCCACCAAAACAAAGAGTGGCCCTAGGGATGTAAACGAGCCGGGTCGAGCCGGCTCGCGAGCCTAAAATTTTGGCTCGGGCTCGGCCCGGTTAAAATGACCGAGCTTTTTTGCAGGCTCGAGCCGCTCGGTCAAAAAAATAGGCTCGGCCCGAGCTTTTGCTCGGGCTTTTTACGGGCCGAGCCGGGCAGGCTCGTTTTCTCCCCATTTTTTTTTCCTTCCTGCTGCCTTAAAAGGCAGCGAGCTGCTGCCTTAATATAAGGTAGCAGGCAGCGAACTGCTGCCTGTTTTGCCTTAAAATTTTTTTTTTTTTTTTTTAAATAAAAAGCTCGCGAGCTCACGGACCAGCTCGGGCAAAGCCCGTGTCCCCAAAATGGGGCTCAGCCCGAGCTTAGGCTTGAGTCTACCGAGCCCCGAGCCGAGCGGGCTCGGGAAAAGCCACGGGCGGCCCGAGCCGACGAGCCCGATTGCCATCCCTAAGTGGCCCAAATCTTAAAGTTCTCTATGCAACTTTCTAATAGTTGAATGCAACTCCAAATTCTCACAAATAGTTGGGTTCAATTATTACTTTTGATTCAGTTAATTGGACCAAGCTACTTAGCCACAATGGGTGACATCGGGGTTGACACAACACACACACACATGGGGGTCGGGATTATTTTGTTCAGGCGGGATCCACCTCGGCATGTGAGAGCGCGGTCATCCATTATGTCAACCATGACGTTCATTTGGCATTTTCCCATTTAATTTTCCCGCGAAACATAAATTTACAGAAGGGTAAGAGATTGATGATGGTTGGGAGACAGTTGGCCAAAAGCCTGCGAAACAGCATTACAAGGTTTCTATATAACTCCCCAGTGTACTGATAAATATTTGTTGTTTTTCTTCATCGATCTTGATTAATTTTTGTCTTCGATTGAGTTTGACATGTGGTTGGTACTATTGAGTACAATTACATAAAAGATTAACTAGGAAGATGTAATACATTTCGCAACAAATCTTACACTAAGCTTCTATGATTTTATTGCTTCGTAACAAGCATCGAAACAATTCCCCATATTAAGCCGCTAGATATTAGCTTCTAATTAGACTTTGTTTTCTTGTGACACAAACCATTTTTTAAAAATTTATTTTGGGAAATCTCAAAAATCCAACGGTGATTCATTTTTCTTCTTTCTTCAAATTGTATCCAAAATTTAAAATATGATCAGAACTGACATATAATGTCGGAATAATAAAACCGAGAGAGAAATAGATCAATTAACTTTTTGAGGGCCTCATTGTTGGCCTCAATTCACCGAATCTCCATTCATCACTTCAATCTTCCTCCAATTTTATTTATTTATTTATTTATTTTTAAATATTAATACACTTCACTTTTATTTCACTCTAATTCAAATATTTTTAACAAATATGTAAAAATGGAAAAAAAAAAAAAGAAAAGAAAAGAAAAGAAATAGAAATGGAAATTACCCATCTATTCCACTCATGTTTATTGTGACAATCACTGGTTGAACTGGAATCATCTTGCTCTCACACCACCTCTTAGTATAGACCATTAAATTCTAATGAGAAAACAACTATCAATCAGGTGAAGAAGATTTTATTTCGATTTTTAGAGGGAAGTAGAGGAAAAAAGTACCGTCAATTCAATTCTAAGACTTGGTCATCAAAAAAAATAAAAATAAATAAAATCATTCACCACGAAGAATACATAACAACCAAATCAATTATAGAGAAAAACAAATGGTGAAATTACTCTTGGATTTTTCCATGCAAATCCATGTTGCTCCAATGAACCAAAATTGGAAAACTACAATATAAAAGTGATTAATATAAGTTACATAAGATGAAGAAGTTTAATTCTACTTAAGCTGATTATTAACCTCAGGAAAGCAAATGGAGACATCACTCTTGATGGACTTAGGTGGTTTCGATAGAGCCTGCAGGATAAAGCAAGCTATATATTTATCATTAACTATAGAATTTCTTGATAAATATAATAAAAAGAGAAAAAACTTTAGAAGTAAATCTTTACTCAGCATAAAATAAAAAAAAATAAATAATAAATAAAAAAAGGGCCTACGTTTAGGCCACCTTAATTTCTTCATACATAGAATTCCATCTTGTACTCTGGGTTTAGAAGCAATACTTCAAGCATTGGTTGACGAAACTTCAAGGTAAAAAAGAAATCATGCTTCATCTGCCTGCCAAGTGAGTTTAAAGAGAAATGAAAGGGGACATACTTTTCAAATGCACCTGCCACGGATCGAATAAAGTGACATCATGAAAAGGTAAAAGAACATGCTCTCTAATAACCAATTGATGAATTATATATTTTCTTTACTAGTCTAATAGATGAGCAAATATTAGAAAATTCGATGGCGTATAGTAAGCTCTATCCCTTCTTCAGACACAAAAACTTTCTTTGCCAGCTTAAAACATCTACCAAATTAAAGCATGCACATATGTGCAACACATTCGCTCACAAAAATTGGAAGTCATTCATCCAAAAATAAAATACTACAGAATTGCCTTTAAACATATTAATCAGAAACCAAACATGCTAAATAAAATTTCCCCTTACCGATCCTGAAAAGAAGCTGATGTAGCAAAGGTTGAGAAGTTCAAAATCTATAAAAGTTGAAGAAAACTGCAGAAGAAGCATAACACATGCAGTAAAGAAACAGCTAGAGAAGAAGGAGAGAAGGAGGAGAAAAAAGAATAGGACAAGGGGCGGTGGAAAAGGGAGATTTCTGCAACACTCAACGTTCAATTCATTCCCATCAAATCTGTCCCCCATGCATAGAAAGCTGCATACTTTTATACAATACAAAGCATAAAAGGGCTTGGGCCAGCCCAATACATGATACAAGCCCAAAAAAAAAAAAAAAGGCTTGGGCAAGCCCAAAACATAATACAAGCCCAAATAAAATACTAACTAAATAATCCAAACTAGATGTCCTCATCAACTCTTTCGAGGTGGAAGAAAACTCGACTCTGTCGAGTGAATAACTCATAAAAGGCTACAGTCAGTCGTCCAACCATAAGCTGAGTGTAGGGATATCAAACGGGCTAAGCGGCTTGTCGGCTCGACCGCTCGGCTCGTCAAAACCCGGCTCGTGAGCGGCGAGCCGAGCAGGGGGCTCAATCCCATGAGTGGCTCGTGGGCAGTGAGCCCCATGAGTGGCTCGTGGGCACACGGCCCACGAGCCATTTTGACGAGCTAGCAACTCGTTAAAAAAATATGAATTTTTTTTTAAAAAAGGTCCAAAAATGTGCAAGTTTACAAAAAAAAAATAATAATAATAATAATCAAAAAAATCACGAGCTCGCCCCCGAGCAACGAGTCGAGCACCAGCTCGGCTCGCCATGAGCCAGAGCCGAGCTAATACAAAATCCATACTGACGTCTTGCTAAGGACAACTAGGGACGGGAAGAGATGTGTAAAGACCAGTGTTTTGTCTCTTTTGTTTGGCCAACTAACAGGTACTACAGGCACTAACTATCTTAGCTACAGCTATCTTCAAACGAGGTCAATAAAATTGATGTTCAATCTCTTCGATTGTCTTATCACGTCCAAATTGCCCAGCCAAGCCTCCGACATGACTTTTCCAAACTATGAAATCTCGTACTGAAGTTCGAGGGACACACAACTTATTAGACTTAAAAAGATAACCATCCTCTAGACGAAAAACATCAGTAGCATCCAACCGTCCACTTTACAATGCAAGAAAAATGTCCTTGAATTTGGGACATGACTCATAATCTTCTTTGAGCCGTTCAAAACCTATAACCTTGACAGTCATGATGGTTAAGAAGGGAAATGCGACGGCTTAAAGCATCCGTCGCTTGATTTTCACTACCTTTCTTATGCTTCAAAACAAAAGAATAGGCTTGCAAGTACTCGATCCAACGACTATGCCTAGCATTCAACATCTTTTGGGAATTAAGGTAGCGAAGTGCCTCATGGTCAGAATAAAGGACAAATTCTTGGGGTAACAAGTAATGATGCCAATAACGCAAAGCTTATACAACTACATAAAATTCCTTGTCTTAAGTTGAGTACCGTAACTTGGCATCATTTAGTTTCTCACTAAAATAAATAATAGGGTGGCGTTCTTGGCTCAAAACTCCACCTATCCCTACCCCAGAGGCATCACATTCTACCTCAAAAACTTTGGAAAAGTCTGGAAGTCGCATGACTGAAGCTTCTGTCATTCGTCTCTTAACCAACTTAAATGCTTTGGCCGCTTCGTGCGACCAATAAAATTTTCCTCTTTTCATGCACTCTGTAATAGGAGCCATGATCGTGCTAAACTCTTTAATGAAACGACGATAAAAGGTAGCTAAACCACGAAAACTCCTAACATCATGTATGGTCTTGGGCTCAGGCCAACCCACAATGGCTTGGATCTTTGTAGGCTCAGCAGACACTCCTGTCGCGGAGACAATGAAACCTAGGAAGACAACTTTATCCGTGAAGAAAGAACATTTCTTCACATTAGCATACATGCTTGTAGCGTGAAGGGTAGAACAAACCTGCGTAAGATGATCTCGATGTTGATCCCTAGTTTTACTATACACGAGAATGTCATCAAAGTAGACAACGAGGAATTTACCCATTAATGGTTGCAAGGCTTGTGTCATTACTCTCATAAAAGTACTTGGGGGCATTGGTTAGCTCAAAAGGCATGACTAACAACTCATAAAGACCATCCTTCGTTTTAAAGGCAGTCTTCCATTCGTCACCCAGGCGAATCCTAATTTGGTGGTACCCGCTCTTTAAATCAATCTTAGAAAATATCATGGCACCAACCATCATATCCAACATATCATCAAGCCTAGGGATTGGAAAACGGTACTTCACTGTGATCTTATTGATAGCATGACTATCAACACATATCCTCCAAGAACTATCTTTCTTAGGAGTCAAAAGGGTGAGAACCGCACAAAGACCTAGACTTTTACGAATAAATCCTTTGTGAAGGAGCTCCTCTACTTACCTCTGGAGCTCAGCATGCTCAGTAGGATTCATTCTATAATGAGGTAAATTTGGAAGAGATGATCCAGGGACAAGATCTATAGCATGTTGAATGTCTTGTAAAGGGGGTAATAGATCAGTGAGGTCTTCAGGAAAGACATCTCGAAACTCTTGAAGAACTGACTAGACCTCATCAGGGGTCAATATTTGAGATTCCGATGGAACTTCCATGACGATCACGGTGAACACAACAGAATCCTCTTTGAGTGTACGCTCAAATTTCGTAGGGCTAATCATATGTAACCTTTTCTGTTCCACAATTTTCTTGATCTGTTGTGAATCAACAAGTTTTGGCGGTAAAGAATTAAGGTGAATCTTCTTCCCATTGAACACAAAGAACATGAATTTAATCGACCATGGATAGTGACATCTAAATCGAACAACCAGGGTCGACCAAGAATGATGTGTCCGACGTCCATGGGAATGACATCACACCATATATGATCTTTGTACTCAAGCAACAGGATAGGAACCAAACGATGCTTGTTTATGGCAATAGAAGAAGTGTCAACCCAAGAGACGCTATAATTAAGGTGAATCTTCTTCCCATTGAACACAAAGAACATGAATTTAATCGACCATGGATAGTGACATCTAAATCGAACAACCAGAGTCGACCAAGAATGATGTGTCCGACGTCCATGGGAATGACATCACACCATATATGATCTTTGTACTCAAGCAACAGGATAGGAACCAAACGATGCTTGTTTATGGCAATAGAAGAAGTGTCAACCCAAGAGACGCTATGAGGTTGAGGGTGTGGGACTGGTCGTAATCCAAGACGAGATACTGTAGCCACAGAAACTGCATTTATGCAGCTACCACTATCGACAATAATTTTACAACCCTTGTTATTGATCTTGTTATAAGTGTGAAAAATGACGTGACAACGTCAGTCATCAGCATCTTTAGGGTGAGTGAGGGTACAACACTTAGCCGCGAGGTATTGGGGACAGAGGTCACAAAACCTAGATCTATAGGAAAGGTTTGGATGCAACCTAACAAGGTATCCTCAATATCATCCAAATCGTCAAACTCTTCAAACTTAAGTTCATAGACTTGATCTTCTAATGGCTCACCTTCTAGGTCTTTTCGTTCCTCAATGACTAAAGCTCGACTAGGACGTCTATATGCGATATGGCCAAAGCCTTTACAATTGAAGCACTGCATGGGGGGGAGAAGTTTTTGGAATTTTGGGAGCTTTACCCTTATTTTCCAACACAGGAGAGACATTAGATGGGGGAGGCCCTAGGAGGGACTTAACAGGCGGAGGTGGCACGAATGAGATGGAAGGACAATTGTCAACATGCCTTCCATATGGAGTCTTAGTGACCAACTCATAATCTTGGAATAAAGAATAAAGATGATCAAGGATAGTGACACCTCGAAGGATAAAATCACGTCTAAGATCATCTTTTAGACCATGTCTAAACCTACTCAAAGTCACTGCCTCATCCTCAACGATGTGACATCGCATTCAAAATTCATAAAATTGAGTAACATAGTCAGTCACTGGTCGATTTCCCTATGTAAGGGTATTCCATTGGTCCAACAAGTTACCCCTGTAACATTGGGGTAAATACTTCTCTTGAAGGCGACGCTTCATTTCCTCCCAACTTTCAATTGAAGGTGCACGATGCCTCTCAAAAAGATCCTCAACACTTTCCTAGAAGAGTTGGGCGGTGCCAGTTAATTTCAGACTGGAAAATTCGACAAAATTGAGTAACATAGTCAGTCACTGGTCACTTTCCCTGTGTAAGGGTATTCCATTGGTCCAACAAGTTGCCCCTGTAAGATTGGGGCAAATACTTTTCTTGAAGGGAACGCTTCATTTCCTCCTAACTTCCAACTGGAAGTGCACGACGCCTCTCAAGGTGATCCTCAACACTTTCCCAGAAGAGTTGGGCGGTGCCAGTTAATTTCAGATTAGCAAATTGGACACGTCGATCCTCTGGGACTCCATACCATGCCAAGAAACAATCCATGTCTCTAATCCATTGAGTAAAAACTCTAGGATCTAAGCAACCATCGAAAGTAGGAACGTCTAACTTAATGGTTCTAAAGTAACGCTCGTCATGGCGTGGAGGAGAATGATTATTGCGACGGTCATGACCTCGTTCTCTATCACGACCCTGATCTCCATTCCTTTGATCACGTCGATGATGTTGTCGACCACCTTGTCGATGATAATAGGGTACGTTATGGGATGCTTCAGAGTTATCAGCGTCAGTCAAATGAGGGGTTTGTTCAAAGTGGTCCAACCTCGCAGCTAGGTCTCTACTCGCTTCACGAGTAGTAGCCATCTCAGTTTGGACAACTGGTATTTGAGTCTGTAAATGTTGTTGGCTAGTGACAAGCTGAGCTAATTGTCTAGTGAGTGCATCAAACTGTGAGGGTTCCATGGTAAATTTACTAAAACTAGATGTGACTAGACAACCACTATGCAACTGCATACAATGTAATACTAGCTAAATGACTTGCAATGGAGAGATCAATGAACAAGTGCAAGTAATGAAAAATAGCAACGTGAGCATTCAAATTAAAGGTTTGGGATTAAGTAAGTCCAAATATGGTAAGCTAATACTGCTGATATATGTAAAATAACAAAGCGAGGATCAAATTACCAATCAAAATCTAATCACGTAAAATAAGTGGGGTTTAACAAAGGTTCAATCATGTAATTTCAGGCAAAGTAATATAATAGCAGAACAAAAAGTTAATTGATGTGATTTTAAATTAACAGTAATATAGACTAAATATAGATAAAAACAGTAACTCCCCCTTTTTGTTCGCTAAAGTAAATGAGCCGATCAACAGGACAATGATAGGTACTTGCAAAACAATGTTAGAAAATACAATTTTTTTTTCTTTTCTTTCCTTTCCTTTTTTTTTTTC